TGACTAAACTATCGACGAAATATTACAAATAGTCGAGTTCCACCTAATAATTGATGCAAATACGTAACGCGAGAGGAAGAAAATATGTATTTTACTGTTATTTCATTATTTTGTTATGAATGCAATTGTATGCGTTCCTGTAGAATATTTTCTTCCAAACTTGCAAGCTTTCACAAGTGCATCATGGTAATGCATTTTTAACGTTCAAAAGTATACAAATCTTATTTACTAAAATCCAATTTCATTTAGTCTTCTCCAGCTTAATATTTTGTTATTCGTACCACTTTCCCGTGGAAGTGACTCTGAATTACAAGATTGAATAAAATATTCCGAAGGTATCTCAACTTAGAATGAAGGTTGCCCTTTGGATAAGAGTAGGTATTACGTGGGACCGACAGAAACGCAGAAAATAAGATCACAGGCTCACCTATGAAAACGCAAACAATTGAACGAGATCAGCGGCCCAAGGAGCAGTTAAATAATGGAGGCTGGAACCGCTGGAAGGCACCCCGGGGCATTCTAAGGTTGCCGAGCTTTATATCTTTTTACCTACGGTCTCTCTGCCTTTCCTATACCCTCCATTCATTTCTTTTCCCCTTGGAGAAGTCCACGCTTGTTTGATCCCTGACCCGTTCATAACGCGGAGGAAACGACCCGGCGGAAGTCAACGATGGGTGCACTTGAGGATGCACTTTTTTCGCCGGGACTTCGTTAAATTCGGATCCTTCGTAACCGTTTGGGAGAGACAACGTTTTGACAAATAAATCGGCTAGCGTCTCGTCGCTATTCCCTTGCTTGCGAGGAATGGATAGAACCGACGAGGAATCGATTCTTGCCACGCACCCGGAAGCCACAATAAAAAGCCACGTCGCGGTGACTTACAAAGGCTCTTCTTGTGAGACAAGCCAATCCATGGCTGGATTCGTTGCATTCTCGTCCGGAGGAATTTATTACGGATCGTGTTTAGCATTGCGAAATAAAAATCTGGCGAAGAAAGTGGAGAAGATTAAGATGAAGCTTAGACCTTATGAACGAAATATTTTATAATTTTGACGTTGATCCTCACATGTTTCACTTTTTAGATATATGATACGGTATTTTGAAACTATTAATTTATGTAAGAAAATCCTGAAGAAATAATTGTATACTTCATTTCTTTTCTGTAATATTTTTCACTTGAGTAAAAAACTGTAATGCACTTGTAACGTACATATAAACAGATTAAATATCGTGTCCTCCCCTTTAACTATACAATTGCCTATAATACTACATCGATAAAAATTAATCAACCATGATACGTTTTTGAAATATCGATATTGAAATGTATCGTTAGAGAAAGTAGGAAATAATTTGCCCTAGCTAACAGGTCATTCATTACTGTGATCAAAAGGGCCACGTTATACGTGGTAAAAGTCGCGAAAGAGATATTCAAGTGGAAGACCACGAGCGAACTTACTCCGGTAGCTGTGCTTCATAACTGAACTGATTTATTCATTGAACATTCGAAGAAGTTCCAGAGCAGGCCGGGAGTTCCAGCCCATGACAGCGAGACAGAAAGTACCAGGGGAGAACGTACCCGGTGAAATTTGTATTCTCTCTACGTACAATTAACCCGATTTATTTCGCTAGAGCTTCTTTCCGCACTGCCCTCTCTATTTCAAGGGAAAATCCACCCTAAAAGGAAGCTAGAAAAGTTAAAAAAAAGAAAAATCTAAAAAGAAACGAAACAGAAAAGCTCTGTAATTTCCATGGAGCGGAGAGTCGAACGGAGTATTTCGATTTCGAGTAAAGGTAGCGAACAGTTCAACGAATACAAAATCGCGTTTATTGTTCGTCGTAATTCAGCTCAATTACACGGTAACAGAAAGTTGTTAGTCGTGAAACGGAGAAAGAGTGAAGGCAGAATAATTAGAGCAGGGAGAAGGAAGGAACATTAGGGATCTTGGATGAAAACGAGCAACGAAGGCTAGCATGAATTGCATTAGCGATTCCGTACGAGTCGTTGGCTAGGAGAGCGGCGACGAGTATGTAAATACGCGTGCACATGGATGCAAGAAAATTGAGCGGATGTGAGTAAATGATGGTACGTGACCGATCTTAGGAGCGTTCGAAAGAGAAGAAATCTCGCGGCTAGAAGGAGGCGGAGGCTTGCTTAGCAATCAGCTTCGGAGATGGAGCACCGACTACGAGAGAAAAGTTCGTGTTTTCTGCGCTGCGAAATAATTTTTGTTAACACAGTAGCAATGGTTGGTTTTATGCCGAATTTATGACACAAACGTGACTTTTCTGCTATTTAATTTTAGGCTTTTAAAGTTTCAGATTTTCTATATGCAATTTTACTAGAAGGGAAACTTGTAAAGGCTAACTCGTATACCAGTAATTGTTTATTAATCAGCGCTCAATCACCCCTGTCAGGATAAACTTTTCGTACATCTTATCCCCTTATAAAGAGGACGAAGATGCGGATGTGACACATTTCTTCACACCTTGACAGTATGATAACCATAATAGAGCAGACATTAAACTTGGTAAAAATACCACAGGGACTCATTTTGCACTTACACTTATTTTCGTACTCACACATATCTTTAACAATCATACAGTCCACATTGTTATTTTAAAAGTCGTTGATATCGAGCTACACGTGTGAACATTGACGACACAACACGTATTTTCTGCGCTGCAAAATAATTTTCGACGATGGCGAACCTTACATAGAACGGTGTATTTTCTCCTTCATAATTTTTTTTTTTTGCCCCAGAACTTCTTTTTAGTTTAAAAAAAAACGTACGATAGAAAAGTATAGATCGAGATATGCACCGTATTGAAAAATTCATCAGGTAGAAGCAGGTCTGGAAATAGTTCCCCGGAATTCAGATCGTTCTATGGATAAAAAAGAAATGAGAATAGGTCCTCGATGGCGCGTATCACGGTTTGCGCAGCCGAAAGATTCGGCTGGATGGAATCCGATAATAAGCACGCGTGCCTTCGAATGCGTGCGTGGTTTCGATAAAATCGGACGAGTTGAAATTTCGTCGTCTCTTTTTATTGGCCGATTCATGGAAGCTTCCGTGGCAGGATACGAATAGCGAAACCTTTTGCGATTCACCGGTTACCCAGGCTACATTCTGTCCCGCGAAATTCAATTTGCCCTCGAACTGGTCTGCGAATTTCTTTTACGACTGTCGAGCTACGTCTACTGGCATGTATAGTATCGATACAAAGAACTACCTTAATGTTCAATCCTAGAACCATGTTACTATTTCTGTAATAGTGTTACACCAGTTTCTATAGCCCCTTCATTCTAATGTTTCGAGTGTTTTCGAATTTTCTGTATTTATCGTTAAGCATGAATTCAATTAACCTGGCTTTGAAGTTTGTATTCATACGGGTACAGTTAGATAACTTGGACTCGTTTCCACTTAAATAACTTGCTTTTAGAGAATTATATACGTAAGATAACTTGGGAGGAAGTGGCAATAGTAATATCTGTATTCGTTTCTGTTAAATGTTTTAAAAAATTAAAAAATAACATTAAGAAGATACGGTTCAAAAGATATTTGGACGAAGAAATGAATTGTTTGGAGTCACCTGGGTCTATGTGAATTCCATATCCTGAATTATTTCATTCTTATTTTTTTATTACTATTTCTGTTCTACGTAGTTCAAGATTGTTCATATAACACATGAATTATATATTATTTGAAGATATTTTACAATTGATGTAATATGCATATACATATGCAATGTTACATGAAGTACATAAATTATTGTAAAGGAATCTGTTGATGAAGAAACAATAGCAGATCCATTTCAAGAACTTTTTTATTTCTTATACTGATAAATCATCATTAGTTCAAAGAAGACTTGTAATAAAAATACCAAGAAACCGAATCAACTTTCGAAATAGTGTATCAAATATTTTAAAGGAACTTTGTGTAGTATATGGTTGTACTTTTATTTGAGAAAGTAATATTTCATATGGACCAAACTAATACGTTATACCAAATGCAAATTTCATTCTGAATTTCTATACAATAGTTGACGTTAAGTCGATTCCACAAAGGCATCGTTCCGATTTTCGAGTTTACTAGATTGCTAGCGACACTAACTTAGTAAAATCATAATTAATTAGGTGCACGTGACAAATGATCAGTATATCCGTTGAATTACAGATAAATTGGTACGCGCATATTGCTATTGACAACTGTAGTAAGTATAGATAGGAAATGCCTGTTATTTGTCGTCTGTCGGTACTTACACCTCGATTCACGATCCTTCCACCGCGGCACGTGAACGTTTTCATTTACCGTATTTTCCCCGTGGTTACGGTCGCGAGGGGGATAATTAATTTTCGATCACGTCTGCGATAAAGAAACGTCGGCAATCGTTTATTTCCGACACTATGATCGATTCTGATCGATAGAACGTGGACTTTTCCTTCTTACAATAAAATACGTAGAACCTACTGACTAATTTTAAGACGCGAAACGTTTTCATCTAAGTATCCGTTTTCTGGTGCCTAACGTACAATTTGAATGTAATTGTGACATTAGAACATCTGCGTATAAAATTGAACTTTGTCTTTTTGTATCTAATAATTGGATTATGTTAGTGTAATCGTCATTTAGTTGCTTTGATCGTTACTCGTTTTTATTTTTTTTTTTTTCTTCGTTTTTCTGTATATTGAGAAAGGTTCAATGATTAATGCATTGCTCAAAAAACATATAAGGAAATCGAAGAAACAGATAATATATAGTGGTAAACATATAACTAGGTATAAATATTTATAAGACTGTAACTGAAATTATTTTCTGTTTGTAACAATAAAATTTCCCTACTTTTGTTTATGTTTTAAACCTTCTTTTAGCTTCCATTGTATATATATACTTGTTTAATGTTACACTATCATTATTAATCTTAGAATAGTAATTTTATGACTACACGAAGAATCTGTAATCGAATAATGAATATTTTTGTTTCATGCACGCCTGGAACAGAACAACCTCACTTGCATAAAGGTAAGACACAACGAGTCTCTGATTAAAATTACGAGCAACTAGATGTTATGTTAAAAGTATTAAAAAAAGTTTTCACAGGAAATTAAAGGAATTGTGAAATTAAATTCTTGAGATTGCCATTTTCGAGAATTGGTAGGTACTATGAATTTAAACGAACTTCCAGAAAATTTGTACAGAGTATTTTCACGTTAATTGAAACTTTTAATACAATATGTGTGTTAAGATATAGACTGGCAATCTTGCAGCATTTACGGCTATATAATAATTAATCAGAGTATTTTGATGTTTGCTGCAATAATAATTTGATTATTGTTACATTGATAAAATTTACGAAGAATTTCCACAGTCATTCCATGTCGGTTATGCTTTCAAGTTTTTAGAAATATTTTGAATATTTTATATTAGCTTAATTACATTAAAGAATAAGCTTCATGTTGTATATAAATTCAATCACAAAAACTCAGTGTGAAGTTTCCATGTTAACCAGATTACTTAATTTTGCATTAACTATCCGACCATATACCACACACGCGAGAAACATACCTGATTCTCGGTTAAATGGCTCCAGGAATGATGTCTGGTAAAATCCTGTGAAGATATTGTATATCTCAAAGGAAAGAAAGTGTAGTCACGATACAAGCAAGGACGTTGCTGGTTGAATGATGCTTTCAGAAGATTTTGATCTCAATTCAAGAAATTTAAATGCATTAAGTAAAGTTTACTATTATTTATTGCAAGATCGTAAAAGTCTTCACAATGCTGTCTCGTTTTTATCTAACACAGATAATATAAATAACAATACAATTTATTTGTTATGAAAGAAAATTTCAGCTTAATGCAATCCTGTATCATAGAAATCGATATTTCGAAAATGTAATCTGATTTATGTGACACGGATTTTTATGTAAAAATTATTTCAAAAATTTGTTCGAACGATTTATTAATTATCATGAGAGTAATATGTTTGGCTATTGTCTCTGAATCTTGTAGACTGAAACATCATTGATGTACGACGCCGTGCATTTATTTGCGAAAGCACTGCACGATTTGGATACATCCCAACAGATCGACATCAAACCGCTTTCCTGCGAGTCCACCGACACTTGGCCCCACGGATACTCTCTCATAAACTACATGAAAATCGTGAGTATTTGAGCTATAATATCGCAAATTATGTATAGATATACTTATCGTATTGAATGTAGATAAAAGATGAAAAGCTATAAATGAACTTCGCATGCGCAGTTAGATATTATTTTAGTGTATTTATTGACTTATATTTTAGGAAGTTGTAGTTGTAGAAAGTGGTAAACGTTTCGAATACTAATTTTAAACGATACATCGGAGGATAAAAGTAGATTTAGAAATTAAAAGTTAGAAAATAATCTGAAGAAATTTGGTCAATATTCTGCTGAAATTTATAAAATTTAATAATTCTATGAGCGTAATTCAAGAGCTGAAAATGAAATAAAGATTTGTTCCACCCACTAAATATGGCAATACGTGCCTTAACATGAATATTTCATATACATATGTTTGCATATTATGTTTTTCCTATAAATGCAGAAACGCCCGTAATCCAGTGATTAAAATAAGACATATGTTATAATACCCCGCCTCGAATATTTTATATATATTTCAATATTGTCTGCATTCTATGTTATTATATTATTCCATTTAAAAATTTTTCATAAATGTATATAAAAATTTGCAATGTAATAAGTAAAATAAAATAAAAACTTGATTAACCAATCGATACGATAATACGTCTGGAATAAATGAAAATGAAAATAATAGTTAATGTTAAAATACGTTTAACTTGTCGCGTGGAAATCTTATTTCGCGCGTTCCATTTATACGCCTGAGAAGAAGCCAGCATGTGTTTGTACGATTGTTCGCGAGGGAGATGTTCAAACAAAGCCAGCTGCTTTACGATGTCACAACGGATGGGGAAATTCCATTGGAGCCTTAATCCTATCGCGATATCGTTGGAAAAGCTCCAATTGAAAACGAGTCGAACGTTCAGGAAACGATGTTCGCGTCACGATGACGTCGGGAATTCGATATACCGATGGGAACGTCGGCCTATGACGTAATTGGTAAAGGGAAAGAAAGGAATTCTCTGCAGTGGAACGCGGAAATTATCGGGTTAGCTTGCTGCTTTCGTAGCTGCAGCAATTTTTTCTCCCTCGTCTCTCATGGGCTTTGCGAAAACACTCCTCAAACCGCTACATCGCCTCGCGGGATTACGAAATCCAGTTTAAATTTTCAAAACTGCGAGCAATTTACGATGCGCGATGTAATTAAGTAATTTTATATAATTACGCTGTATAATTTGTCGCGTTCACGCCATTTCCGTGTAAATTGAGATTTTCACTTGGATTTTATCAGCTATTAAATCCATTAATCTCATGGTTCGTGCTTTATTGTAAATCGAAATTTCTTATAATAAAATAAAACGGATTTCACACTTGGATTAATACACTAAACGAATTTAAACTTCCAACACTGTGATTGTTTTTTTTTCTACTTTTGCTAAGCTGTAGAAGTTTTTATTTCGATTGAATCAAATACTTTTCCATTGAAGCATGTCTTTTAATGTTTTTTTTGTTATTATTTTTCTATACTAAACTACTAAATCGAGATCAATCCAAGATCAATTCAATAACCAACCATTCCAAGAAAAACCACACCGCAAACATTAAAAACATTTCATTTACTTTTTATCGTATCTCATTCATACTATTTCCTATCTTATCTCAAAGTAATCGAATACTTTTCATTAAAACATTTTTTTTGAATTTTTTTATTGCCATTTTTCTATATTAAAAATATTTACAAAAGTAAGCAATTAAATCAAGATCAATTCCCGCTAATTAATCTAAAAGGAATCCAAATCAAACCCCACCGCAAACACTAAAAATCATCCACCAATTCACCTCTCCCCTATATCTCATACATATTCACCATTTCTTATCCCTACACAGAAACCAGTACAGCCTGCGTTATCAGCCACACGAACTAAAACCAACCAACAGCTAACAACGTCTTCGCAACTATTTCCCAAAAAATATGCATTTCTGCACAGCTACACAATCAAACGAAGAGTTCGCGCAACCTACGCTTCTGCCTACTTAAACTAGCCGCAGATAAATAAGCGGTATTGATACGAAATATGCAAAACAGGATAGTAACGTCGCGTACAAGCAGCCTAATTGCGCGGACGCGTAATTAGAGGTTTGTCAGTGGCGCAAATCGTTCGAAAGCGAACTCACCACGACAAAAACGTCCCGTGTAACAGATGCGACAATGTTCCGTTGTCGATAGGCATCTTGCAGCCAGTTGTGGTGTTTCTATCGCTGCAAACGCAGATAAAGAGACAGAGAGAGGACGAAGAGACCATGAGAGGTCGAGAGAGATAGGTAGGTTAGTAGGTTTATCGGGAACGTATCATGCAGAAGGGGGAAATTAATTTCGCGGAATTATGGTCATCGATCGGCCGTCCAGCCAATGTAATAAGCCATTATAACGATATGCTTAATCGGACTGTTTCTCTCTGTTTGGGATTCTCTGCTTATTAACGGGCGCCACGAGTGCCGCCATGTGCAAATGCAAATGTCTGCGGGAACTATGCGCCTTCATACCGCACGCGGACGACACGATCTTTCCACGGTTCCCGATTGTTCCACTGAACAATGGAAAGTTACCTCCCGAGTTAAACGAAGCCGTCACTCCCATTGACAAATTATAGTTCGCGGTTTTGTGACCGTGAATCCTCGATGACGTCCGCGGCGACCACGAATGCGGTTAGGCGAAGTTGAAGTCGACCTAGTGACCTGCAGTTTAAGACAGTGGATTCTGGTTCTACCTTCGTAGGAAGTGCTGACAGGATTATTAATAGGGAGATGGAGATTATTCCTTTTGGAATATTAGAAGCGGAGTGTTGGGGTTTTAGGTTTGGCGCTTGGTAGAAGGGAGAATTATTTTGAGATAATTAGTTTTGTCCGTGTTATTTTTGCTATTCTACAACGTTTATAATACGGAGGACAATATTTCCTATTTTTTGATAACTATTGTATCTATTTCCATTTCATTGGGGTATTTTACGATAGATAATGATTAAGTTGACGTGTTAAGAAGCGTACATAAGAGTGGGAGACAAGATAGCGATGTTGAAGAATGAAAAAATATGGTCTTAGGAAATATTAATAAAAATATACGGTATTCAAATATATAACGCGGATATATAGAATATATGTCCTAATATGATGTCCGGCAGCGTATTAGGAAGAAAGTAGTTATTCATAATGTAAATATTATATCGAACCATTCTAAATGAGTTTCTAAAAATTATGTAATTTAAAGTACCTTGCCGTAAGCAGTTAATAGCAATACGATTTGTTTGGTAGAAGACAAATTGTTTGTTTCTCAAGATGAGTGAAGATAATAATGATCGAAGCCGAGAAGACAGAAGAGCTTTAGAAGCAGTCATCATTTAGTGAACGAGCTTTAACGAGCTTAGACCGCTACAAGAATATATTGTTAAGTACCATGCAACACTCGAGCAAATTGGGTGTTTTGAATATCATTGAAATTCGTATTCTAATCGTTTAAAACATCAGTATCTGAAACAAAAAGTTCTCTCGATCGAGTAGTTAGCACGATTCAGGTTCGAATGGGCTACGAGTACTCCCTTTAAAACCATCTCAAGATAACATTGTTTGAAGTTTTAACGTTGTTGTTTAACAAGCAGTTTTAATTGGGACACAATAAAATGGAAATTGAAAATGCCTGTGCGCACAAAGGGATTTTTCCTCTGCAAATCCTTTTTTAACGCAATTCCTTTTTATCCAATACAAATATAATTGGCATAAATCTATATCGCAGAAAATTTTCAGGATATAACACAGAGGGAAATAATGAAACTACCATTATTCTTCCAAATATGGCACAAAAGGAACAATGGAACAATATAAAGAGTAATGAATAAGATATATAGAACATTGCAACAATTAGCACCGTAAACAGAAAATTCGATTACCTCAAATATCAACCGGATCAATAACGAGTCGTGGCTGCAATAACTGTATCTCTTCCCTGGATATCTGGATATTTTCTCTTATGTTTATTTTATTTTTTTCAATATTTGCATCTGCTAACGATGTCTGCTGTTAGTGTTATCATTGATGAAACATGAGTTCGCAAACGTAGCCGTGTGAATATCGCACGATTTCGGTGTGAAGCGATAATAATATTTGTTGAATAGAAAAACACTTCTCATCAGGTTGGTTGACTCATATCGCAGTTCTGCCTTCAATTCTACTAATTACGCGGCGCGTAACCGGGAACAGGCGGCGCTTTCGAACGCGAAACACGAGCGAACGCAATTTGCCGCCGAAAATTTCGTATCAAGGCTGCCTTGGTAATTATGCAGGTAATGGCAACTTCCCGCTAATTTTCCTCTGGCTACGCGGCTCGATTCAACGCTAAATTTTATTGGAAATCCTCGTTGCGACTCGATCACAGTTTCATTATGCAATGATTTGCTTGAACAGATCTTGAATATTTTTCCAGTTGTAGGGGGAAATTTTCGATTCGATAGGAATAATCGGAAGCAAAAACAAGAAGGAAGGTGGGTTCACGTGGATCGTTTCACGCGTCGATCGCGGGGCTGAGCTCAATCGCGCGATATGCTCGTGATCCACTGATTAGAGCTAGTCACCCAGAATTTCGTGTTTAATTACGCCAGCTAGCTCAGTTACGCAAATGTGCGGTTCATATTGCGTCCGCTCGATCAACCAGTCGTCTCCACTCTAACGTTTCGAATTTCCCCCATTTGTAAATATTGAATACCGTTTGCCTTCGTAGAATGGAAAATTCGATAGCTCCAAAGGGGTTGAATATGGATTGGGAGTGTATCAAAATTAGTTAATTTATTTGTATACATATATATACATATGGAGATATGAGGAAAATCAAATTTTTTGAAAATATTTTTCGATAGTAATTATAATATCTTGAAGAGGTTGAAATAATGACTACGATTATAAACAAATGCTACGCGCAGAAATATGATAAGTCTAAATTTGTTAATTTTCACATGATGATTAAGGAGAGGTATTTTAATGTAATTTAGTTGTAAAGAAAATTGTCCTGCTGAGTGTGAGAAAAAGTAGGTAGCGGGTAATTCCAAATTGTAGTTAATTAATAAGTTTTTGATCCGTGTCTTTCCTCTTTCATAAAATCTTTACTCTTAGAAAAATCGTATTACCTACAGGATGAGAATATCAGTTAATAAGTGGTGTCTACGAGTATCATCTTTGTTTTCCTTTGAAAATTGTCAAGAGTGTTTAATATTTGTTTCTAGGTCGAAATGACGGGGTTGACAGGAATTATCAAGTTCGATCACCAAGGATTTCGCTCAGACTTCATTTTAGACATTATCGAACTGAACAACAAGGAGGGGCTGAAGAAGATAGGGACCTGGAACAGCACCAAGGGTATAAATTTTACGAGGAGTTACAAGGAAGAGTACACTCAAATCGTGGAGAATCTTCAAAACAAAACTTTCATTGTAACAACTATACTGGTAAGTGGTTAAAAGATACTCACTGTTTTAAGATTTTCACGATTATTATGAAGTGTAACTATTAGAAATTAATTAAACAAAGTATTTTCCATTAAGATAATTAATTCTTCTAAGAATGTATAGAAAATTATTCTCAGAGCGTATACGTTAATGTATTGCAAATAATATTTAAAATTTATTACACGAATAGAAGTTGCGAAATTTTTTCCCCAATGCTGCAAGATGAAATCTAGGTTACGCGTAAATCTACGAAGCTAATATGACGTTCTCGGTCCTTTAAAGCCGGAATTTTAAAATCATAGCTAAATTAATTACCCATTCGCTAATTAAAAAGCTTTATTACCTAGGATCATTTTCTTACGTCATTATCATACATTTTCTAAAATCTCGGGAACACTCGCTTACATGAACGCGAACATGTTTAAACGAACAGGAAAAAATAGATCGTATCCCACGTTTACACACACGGAATCTCTAATCCTCGAGTCAACTTTTCAAAGTAACCAGGACATTTCATCCTCGTTTTAATCAAGTAAAGTGATTTCCCTCAAATCTCCTGGTCCGACCTCCATCTGCGCCGGTTCTCTCATCTGAATTTAAAAAATTGTTCTCTTCCTCGGTGTTTCAGCATTCCACTGCCACCTAAATCATTCGTGTATCGTTAAAATCCTGACTGTTTGTTTTTCCTGAATGAAAAGGAAACAGAAACGAAGTTCAACGAACGCCGTGCGGAAGTGGACGCACTTTCTTTTCCTTTTTCGTTCGTCGCCTTCGCCAACTCGTTAGCTTTTCTTCTCTCTTTGACTCCCTGTCTCTTTTCCCTAGTACTACCGTCACCTCTCGGTACTAGTTCTTGCCACGACGAAGGAAACCAGAAGGAAACCAGGAAACCAGAAACGGCGAAGGGATACGCGATTTAATTGAAGTTTTCATGACGAGCTAGCCGACCGTGTCACTTATTCTCGCGATAATTACGACGACAAGTAATGCAGTGCTCGTGAATGTATTAACCGGCTAAGAAAGTTGTCTTCCTTTGGAAGAAGTCCGACAGAGTTGAATTGGGTTGAGTTTTGCGGTAGTTGAGATAAGGGTGCTCATTGCGCATCCGACGAGACACCGAGCCGTTGGAAACTTAAACAATCTAACGCCTGGCGTCTTTAAACGTCTAAGCACCCTGTATTTACGACGAAATTAATCGGATTATTCGTCGACGTGCTTGAATAGTGGACCACGTTAATTCGTTGCGCTCTTGAAAGTTACGCTCCAGTTTCTGCGAGTTAAAAGCTATCCTCTTGTTGACAGAAGTGGTATTAGAGAACGATAAATTATTAAGGACTGTTAAACGTACAATTCTGTTCTAGCCTCTTGAAACGATGAAATTTTCCGCTCTATTTTCTTTGCATTAAACATTTGAAAATTATATTCATCTACGTGTATGCTGTATGGAATCGAAAATACTCCATCTGCACGAATGGATACGATGAGACTTCTTATAGAAACAAAATTAAAAACGAAAATAATATTTTTTCATCTAAGTCCTAATATTATAGAACACTGATTTTGAGCTAATTAATAAAATATTCTTGATAAATTAATCTATATATATTTTTTCGAATTTTTCTTTTCTAATTTTGAGTTAATTAATAAAATATTCTTGATAAATTAATCTATATATATATTTTTTCGAATATGACAACTTGTAATAAGATAATTTAGATTATTAGATTATTAAGATGAGTTATTTTTGCACATCATTTTCCCTTCACGCGTACATCATTTTTTTTACGAAGTAAAATTTCCATTTTAAATATACATCTTCATTCAAACTTCCAACTAACGTAACTACATATCTCCAAAGTAATTTATCATCCCCAATTATTCGTTTTTATTTTCTTAAATAACACAAAATACAAAATATGTACATATATAAATATTTCATAGCAAGTCCACAAATTTGATAAACGAACTTCGCAAGAGTTACGAAATACGATTACGATCAAATTTTCCCCCAGAAACTTGCTTCGAAGTTTTTCAAGAATCGGCCACGTACGCCCGCAACATCAATTTCGAGGAAGCTCCTACGAAATTCCACGTCAGTGCCGGCATTTAGTTACCGCGTTTCGCGTAAACGCGTCATTTCGCGAGCGACACGCGGAATTCTAAACGCGCGGAGCACCCAGCCACCCATTCGTGCAATCACCAAATAACTCTGCGAGTTTTCATCTCTCTGTGCGTGCAGAGGTTATCATCTGTTCCTCGCGTTCCATCAAACGAGTTTCCTTTTTGAACAAAGAAAGAAATCCTGTCGACACGAGAGTGCAACCCTTTCAATTGCGAACGCGTGCATGCATATTCAATCACAGCTCTGTGAATTAAGCAGTGTTGGGGTCCGAAAGGAGCTTGTGTGATTCTAGAATTTTTATTACTCGTCGAAATATGGTTAGGTTAAGTGCAATAGTTTCACATATGCATTGCGTTTCGTTGCTGTGCACAGTCAACAGGCTGTTCATATCTGTATTTGTAAATATCCAAACATGTTCACGTCGTGCTTTATTACCTTGTGTTTTATTGACATTTTCGTGGTACTCGACATGGAATGCTGTCAGAATGTTTTATCTGGTATACCTTATAAGCATATCGTAGAATTGAACGTTGCATTTGCTAGCCAATATACGATCAAGATGAAAGAATTTGTTAATTAAAGTCACAAATCATTTTATGATTTTGCACCAAATCATGTTATACTGATTTTAATCGATAAATTCTTGAATTTGAATTGTATATCTGTTAGCAATGATAATGTCCAATCCTAAAATAACTTTCCAGGTTCTTGAATAATAGCGAGTATTAGTATCTGAATAGTAGTGATAATAGTAATAAATAATAATGGCAAGCAAAATATCGGACGCAGTGTTTTATGCACTTCAATTAGAGCCGAAACAAAAATGTGTTCTATGCTTGTCACACATGTAATTACAATTGTAAGCTCATAGTTTTTCAAATCATCATAGATCTGCTTGTCCGAAAATTCAAAATACTTCTACTTTTACTCATTTATAATATAAATTTTACAATCACTCCACAAGTTTTCCAATACAAACACAAATATTATATAAGATGTACCACTTCTTCCAGATGAAACATTGTCAAAAATGTTTCATATATGATATGGTTATGGATAATAAGAAAATTTTATATAAACATAGATAGGATATTTTAAATACTACCTTTGCAGTTCAAAATACACACACAAGACACATATACACTGTCAAAGAATCTCTTATTCGATTACTGGAATTAGCTTACTAATCTCATAGAGCGCGCCATACTGCATGAGGAAGGACTCGAGCGAAAAGCTGACCGGGAACGCACAGTTCGAGGGCTACAGCGTCGACTTGATTTACGAGATATCGAGGATTCTCGGTTTCAATTATACGTTCCGCCTGGTACCGGATGGACGGTATGGCTCCTACAACAAGAAGACGAAAGAGTGGGACGGTATGATGAAAGAACTGTTGGATCAGAAGGCGGATCTAGCGATCGCGGATCTAACCATCACGTACGACCGGGAACAGGCGGTCGACTTCACCATGCCGTTCATGAATCTAGGTGAGCGATCAGTTTGATCTACGATTCCAAGAAGAACCTTGCTCATCGCGTGGAATTGATTTAACGATCGTAAAACTCTACATGTAACGGGGTTGATTGATTCTTGAGATATTTGAAAACTCCATCACCGGATGGAGCAAGATTCGATGGTATATTTTCTTTCAGTTGAAATTTTGTGGAAAATTTTGGATTAGAAGAAGGATCAAAAATTTATAAAATGGAATATGGATATTTTAATGAGAGTAATTAATTTTTTTACTAACCGTCTATAAAAGAAATGTGTTCGGAAAAATTTTAAACATATATTCAAATTCTTAAAAGTTCTACATTTCGTACATATTTCATTTTTAAAATTTACTTTTATACCATTTTTTTAAATATCTTTTGTACCATTTTTAAATTTTGCTTAATAAAATCTTTTCATTATATCATAAACAACATACGAATATTTTTGACGCTATATATTCAAATTTTACGATGGATTTACACATGTGATCTAAAATTTACAGGGATCAGCATACTGTATCGTAAGCCTATAAAGCAGCCACCGAATCTGTTCTCATTCCTCAGCCCGCTTAGCCTCGACGTTTGGATTTATATGGCGACAGCTTATCTAGGCGTCTCTGTGCTGCTCTTCATACTCGCTAGGCAAGTAAATCCATCTTACCAAGCTCCGATAAAAATATTGTACCGACATCGGTGAAATTTTGCATCTGAACTACATACTCGATAGGAATGAATCTCTGAACGTAGTATACTTTATCGTTCGGTTAGACTTTCGTTGTATTGAGAACTCGACAAATCTCCCGCGTTAATTTTCAGATAGAGAAATAAGACAAATTAACACGCTCACTGCCCAAACGTTTCATATTCATCAGGTATTTTTCGTTCGCATTCCAATGATATGCCTCTCAATCAAATCGTTTATCTTTCTCCATTGCTCGTACTGTAGATTGTTATTTTTCTATCAAACAAAAATTAATATAAGATCTACTGTTATGTCGCATTTTTAAATCATACTACACAGGATGTATCATTTTAATATAAAGCTTTATTTTATTTTGCATTTATTAGTTTCTTCGGTAAAAGATCTGGATTACAGTGGATTTTAGCGGAAAATCGATCACCAAGTTACAACTAACTCTTAAGTTCTTAACAATTGAAATATCAATAACCGTTATAAAAATATTTCGATAGTGATCCTCGACCAAGACTTAGAAGTCATAAATGATGATATTATTAAGCTTTCTATTGTTTACGGGAAAAGGTAACTAAAGTGAAAGTTACAAGAATTTGAAGAAAATATGGTGAATATGGATCCAGTTGTAAGCAGCAATATTTTTCAGAATGCTTAAAGAATTACACCAAGTAAGTCAGTTGTGATTGATTTCATTTGTAATATATTTTTTTTTTCATAATTTATAGCGAACGAGCAATGTTTTTTCTATTTTATCAGTTCTATTTATCACACGTCTTAAATAAACGCTATTCACCAGTGATTGTTTCCATGCATAAAACACGCTGCATATACCTACATGAAAGATAGCCTATATCGGGCGTGATGCAGAGGACACGCCCGAATCGAGCGGTGTGAATCACGAATGATGTACAGGACAGTGAACGTGCTAAATCGACCGAACGCTACAAGAATTATTAGCGATCCTAGCCTCGATAAACTCTGCGTATTCACCTCTGTAAACAGATGTTGCGTTATCACAAGGATATTGATCGTAGAAATAGAATTTCTCCTATACGTTCGCTGATAATCTGCATACATAACGCACAAGTATTTAATTCACGGTGACTCGCGAGTATCTTTCTCGAAGATACATAGAAACTCTAATTTCACGGTCGACGTGATTTCGAAGTCGAGCACGAGTGAGTCCGGTTATGCGAATAAAAGTAACGTATATACATACATATAAGATCAACGCAAACGAAGGAAAGGAACATACGTACACGCTGACTTGACTCGCATTCCGTTCGGTCTTCTTTTTCTGCTCTGTCGACGCGGTTAATCTTCGTACGTAAATGGCGAACGATCCGTGGTAGAAGGCAGATGCATCCACGCTGAAAAGGATCAGACTGTTGTCTAGAGTTGATCAGTTTAGATTCACCCCGTACGAGTGGTACAATCCTCATCCGTGCAACAAAAACCCGGACCATCTGGAGAATCGCTTCAAGCTGCTCAACTGCATGTGGTTCACCATCGGATCCTTAATGCGGCAGGGCTGTGACATTCTGCCCAAGTAAGCCGTTAGATTGGCATCACGGTCGCTTGATCATTTCCTTTTATCTTTTATCCTTTTCTTTTTACTTCCCTCTCTTTTCTTCTTTTTCGTTTTTTAACCGTCGTTTACGTTATCCCCTCGTCTTTCTTATTTGTTCTATTTTGCGTCTCTAGCTGGTTTCGTTGTGTATTCGACCTAAAAACACGTTGTTCTCCACCGCCTTTGAGCGGCGTGTCGTCGACTGAACGCATGTAAATCGAGAGCGATGACTACGTAACCGACGATCCACTTTCGTAACGATTTACTTGTTCATGTCCCATGAACGCACAGCCTTAGAATACTCGAGCTCGCCTTTGCTGCAGGAGGATGAATTATTCAGCGGACTGATTTCGTGAAACCGCTTTTAGCTGGCCAATTGGGATCGGTTGTTGCGGGTTACGCGGATTCGACGAAGGTCGCTTGCGATCGGGATCGGGAGTTCGATCGTAGGAATCAGAATCATGTTCGATATCTGAAAATTATTCTAAGGAGAGATCGTTGGGGTTTAACCATTGTTAGAGGAATCAATTTATTGTTATCGAGAAGATTACTATTTCGGAAGGATTCATATATGAGATCGTGAAATTTTGTATTGTTTAGTCGTATGTATGGAAATTCGTATGAAAGATATTCAAGAAGCGAAAGATTCGATATTGTTATTTTCAGAAGATTATGTCGCGGATAAGATTGTATAAATTATAAACTGGAAGACTTGAGCTTCTTAGGTGTTAAATTGATTTTACATATTTCGTAAATATTTTTGACAAACTGGATTAATATTCAAGTTTTTGAAGAACAACTAATTTACTCTTGCAATTAATCGCGATAATAATTACAAATTTCAAAATATTTTTAAAGAATATATTTATAATATATAACTAACTTATTTTATATTTTAATGTATATAGTTGAGCAGTATGGCTTCTGAGCGGATCAATTGCCGCATAAGTTGTGTCATAGGATTTAGAATTACCTGGCAGTCTCTCCTTAACGTGACTAGTACTTACAGATTTTAAACGAATATCGATTAACGAGCGGACAACGATCCTCAGAGTCGTAGCTGCGTTTCCAGCTACAAAAGAAAGAGAACATACTTGGAGATTGTCTCGACGAGAATATACTCCTATTTCATTCGATATTTTAATAATGTTATTCTGTTAATAACGTAATATTCTTCTTTAATTCTTGGATAACACAATATTAATTACGGATAATATTATTTCAGACTAATACTACCAGTTAAAGATACTGCATTAACTTGAATAATCAAGTTAACCATAATCATGGTAATAATAATCATGGTAACCATAGATAATGAGATAAATAGTCAAGTTGGTAAAGTGATTTTAATAAAAAAACAAATGAGCTGAACATAAAAAAAATCTTGCTAAACATTCGGAGATTTAGATGTCGTAGACTTTTTGCTTTCATTGAAAAATCATAATATATCCCGTTCCTTAATGATAGTAATCAAATACCAACGAGGAAAGACAAAACCATGCCCTCAAGAGAATAGACCTAGAAAAGAAGAAATATGCAAAATAAAGGTGACCTTAATGTCTCCTTAACGCTTCCACCTAAATCTCTAAAATCCTCCGCAATGCCGAGGAGCTCCCGCGTAGGAAATGTTCCTGTGTAATTCTAAAAACAGAGAAATCGTTTCAAGTTAAAGATAAAGTTTTACGTGGAGTAACGAGTACCGAAGGAGTACCGGAAGGGCATTGATTGGACGCAACGAATGTCTGTTTGCTCGGATTAAGTCTTTGTCATTATTCAGTATACAGCTAAATTCAGCTTCTTGAATTTACGACGGAGATTTCTGGCACACACACGTTACTACTTCCTACAATTTTTAAAACTATTATTCAATCTCTTCTCTTGTCAAAGTTAAAAGTTAAGGCCTAAATATTAATTTATGATTCCCAAATTCTATATCAATGCAGCTGATGAATTATTATTGTATCACAGCTCGTACATTAGACACTAGTACTTGCACGGACAATACAATAAACGCATGTCTTTTTCAGATGTAATTTTTTAGAGAAAATTCCAGTTTATGTATCATGAAACTATAGAAATCCACTTTATAAAATCTATATATTTCATTTATTTAATATTTAAAATCCACTTTAAAAGTATTAAAAATGCTCCAAAAAGAGGACAGTTTATTTTTGGGGAAACATTTATTCGCGCTTATGAAACATTATGCCTTAATAGTGTGCTATATTAGGAAGTGCAGGTATGTTACTAAATAGCAACACTATGTGTTTAAGGGTTAAACCCGCAGCTCGGTACATGGTTGCGCCATCAATCAGTGAACATAGTATTTCCCCTTCAGCCTGACCAGCACCCTCACCTTGTTGACTTTTGGGGTAGCTTGATGAGTTAGATTAACTGCCCAAGCGAATAAAATTGTCACAAATTCGCTAATTGAGTCAACACGTTCAACACATTTTATAAAATATTTGAGAACTTAAATATTTATAGAATTTTTTATCAGAATTTTCCAGTAAAACTTGAAAACAGAATTTTGTATAAATTTCAAACAATATCTGCTTCGCATCAGTTCGTTGATTATACATATAGATATATCAAAGATTTCTTTATAAATGCTAGGGAAATTAGTATAGGTAATAAAAAATCAGTCAAAAATGTTAGAAATTATAAATGAATGCTATACTAAACAAACAAAATAAAAGAAATCAATATTATTTTGCTTTATGTCTTGTTCATATTCGTTTTTTGCATTGATTACATGAAACTATTTACGTACAGAGTGCATATATCATAAATATGAACAAAATTCAAATTGAGTGCGAAAAGAACATTTCTCTGTGTGCTTGTTCATCAAATCTCTATACGATACTACTTATATCTCAGTTCTCATATTAAATTCGGGTCTCAAGTAATCCGACAATTACGAGCGCGAAGATTATCAACACATTAAAATCGATTGAATCCGTGGTATCACGCGCGTGCTGCGACTCTGAGGTCTAATCCTCTCCCTTCTCCTTTCACGTGTCTGCAGGTTCAGCCCTTACGAGTGGGAGAATCCCCATCCGTGCAACGGACAGTCCGAGGTCCTCGAGAACGAGTTCACCCTGATGAACTCGCTCTGGTTCACCATAGGCTCGCTCATGCAGCAAGGCTCTGATATAGCGCCGAAGTAAGTGACACGAAGAAAACACAGCTAGTCAAACAACCTAATAATAATATATATCTCTCTGTACTTACGTGCTCGTGTGTAATACGAGCGTGATATTTCCGTTTAATTCGTCGCGAAATTGTTTAATGTCAAACTAACATAAGATAGAGACAGTAATACATACGAGAGATTAGACAAAGAACAACTGTCGAGCGTTTAAACTACTTAATTAACTAATTTAGTCGCGGTCACGGTTTACCTAGGCATAGAAAGTGATAGAATAAGAGCCTTCAGGCTTTTACGTATTGGGTTCTTATAATTAACACTGTTACGCTTAACATTGTATTCTAAATAACATTACTGTTTCCGAATGCAAGCGTATCCAAAATGGAAAGGTTTTCAATATTTGAGAACTGACAATAAATATCAGTATCAATGTGTCCTTCGATCTCTGATGGAACTAAATGTAATGCTAGTGGAGAGTTGGGAACATTTTCCTCTTGAATACGGCTTATATGCGGAAGCCTCAAACAGTATTGAACGCAGCAATGTTAGTTTACAGCAATACTAAGTGTAATAGCATTAATTATGAGATGATAGAAGTTTAGTTGGGATAGGGAAGAGCGAGATTCGGGGCCGTAGGTGCTAACCCAATCTTATGTGACGATATCCTGGATATGCTATATCGTAGGCTTGCTGCAACCGATCACGTTCGCGTGTCGAAAACTTGCCGACGTGCTTTGCTATCGCCAGAGCTAGCGCTCTGTCTCGTCGACAAAGACGGCAACGAACACGACCACTACGGCGACCGTTTCGTTTAGTCGAAGTTGTTGCTGCTCCCTAGAGTCCACCTCCAGCCGAGAAACTGAACCGCGAAGTAACTGAGAACACCGCGGCACAACGATACTTGAAGGGTCTGATAAGTTTTCGTGAAGTTTACAAGGCGTGTAAAGCCGTGAGATCAAGAATCAGGATTTGATTTAGGTAATTCGGTTAATATAGAGTAGTTTCGGGAAGCAGCAACAACTTCATCGCATCGGACATTCAACACTTTCACTGTTAGATGAAGGATCATATTTGTTATCCGGAACTTCCTACGATACGGCCCCTATCCTCGAACGGTTATCGTAGTCTTTCTTTTATTCATATTAATTGTTGTTATGCGTAGAGTTGAAGAAAAGGTTGCGCGAACTGCATGAGACGCTGCAACGTAGAAGCTTGATGTATTTATTGTTTTTTATGCATTTAGATGACTTCTGTACATATTGGTCATGGTATTTCGCGTGTTTTGAACTTTGTCTCGATAATTTTGAGATATTTTTAAATCAAATATCTAATGCCTCTCGAATATCACGAAGATATATCGAAACTTACGAAATAGAGAGTAAAATCTTTGTTACATACTTCTTTCCAAAGTTACACGTATATGCGCTTGAAGTGTGTTTGAAGGAATAGAAATTCGATCTTTGAACAAATATGAAGTGCGGTTGTTTTAAATTCATGCGAAAAATACGCATTTCGAGTCGACTATCGTTGTTGAAAATACCGATTGCACCGCTTGAATTCTTCTTCCCAGAGCCGTGTCAACGCGCATAGTGGCGGGCATGTGGTGGTTCTTCACTTTGATCATGATTTCTTCGTACACTGCCAACTTGGCCGCGTTCCTCACCGTCGAGAGGATGGATTCACCGATCGAGAGCGCCGAGGATCTTGCAAAGCAGACGAAAATCAAATACGGGGCTCTCAAAGGAGGCAGCACTGCGGCCTTTTTCAGGGTAAGATCAGATGAATAACTTATGAGTGAGCGCTATACAAACGTAAAATCGTCTTGAGTTATGTACGTTACCGCTCATGAGTATCTGAGCACTTTGGTCGATCTACTTTGTAGTAGTAATATATGAATTTTATCAAGGTATACAAATTCGTGGTAGATTAATAATTAGATATCAATAGATAGATTCTTGTGGAGTTATTAAAGTATCTATTAAAAATATAGCTATGATATTTTTTACTATTTATTATATACACTTTTGTTCATAAATATTAGGACAATTTCTAAATTTATTATGTAGGACGTGACAAATTAAGAAAACAATTGATCAATCAGAATTTCATATTTATAGAAAATAATTTTATTTAAGAAATTTTTAAAAATTATTTGTAAGAGTCATAGTTGGTGTAATCGTGTCACAATATTCTATTAATACATGTAGAGATGATTATTTAAGAAATGAAATTATTGGAATTCAATTCGTTCTTAATTTTTTCATTAAGATACATTTTGTCAGAAATAAATAAGAGTTCAGATACTTTTAAACGATGGTGTAGACCATTTGCGTCCATCGATAAATCGTGCATATATCAAACAGCATGTGTTACGATGTTGAAATTGTATCAGAGAATGGCTCATAAGTAGACTGGAGGAGCATAACTTCGCGAGAAACGAGAAGAAACACGAGGGAGAGCGCGTGTTGCTTGAGAAAACATCGCAGCCATTATTTAACGTTAATTCCCGTTTAATTTCGGTATTATGAAACTTTATTACAACAGATTACGCCAGAGGAGGAAAAAGAAATACGGAAGCAGCACGATTTCTACAAATTTTCTTAACTTTTTATTAACTCATCTGCTGCATTAAGAAAACGCTATATTATAAGCGCCTTCTTCTTCTTTAAATATTATTCTTTATTCAAAGATCATACAGCAGAAATGATCTATATTTGTAAATAAGTAAATGTTCACATTTCACATTTTATACGAATTCCAAGTAAACTACAGAGTGGTAAAAAGAAAGGATTCAGCACCTTAAAATTAAAGAGCATTCACCAAATGGAAGGAAAAATATCCTAATATTAACATTAATATATCGATATTAATTATCCAACCTGCATTTATTAATAATGTTTTCTTCTGTTTGGCTCTTTCGCCTTTACCAGCGAGTACAATTACATTCTGTATATTACGAGCGACTATGGTTGTTCAACGCATTTTCTAATTTCATATCTACCACCCTGCGTAAATCTCACATGTGGAACGGTTAATCTTTAAGCGAGAAAATAGATGAAAAAATGTAGAATCCAACAGAAACGAAAATGGCACGCGTTATAACGTATCGATCGTCGCGATAGGGGTTTCGCATGATTTCCGGTGAAACCGCAGGCGGGCGTCGGCGGGTGTAATAGGCCTCCTTGAAGATTAACCAATTTCGACCGACGTTCCACCGTTTAATGGCACGCGTGCTCGACCATGAAATTCCTGGCGTGATCTAGGATTCCAATTTCTCGACGTACCAGCGTATGTGGTCCTTTATGGATTCGGCAAAGCCGACGGTATTTACAACTAGCAACGTCGAGGGTGTAGAACGGGTGGTCAAGGGGAAAGGCAGCTACGCGTTTCTAATGGAATCCACCTCCATCGAATACGTAATCGAGAGAAACTGTGATCTTACCCAAGTCGGCGGCCTCTTGGATTCGAAAGGATACGGCATCGCCATGCCGCCAAGTAAGTGAAACAAGTTGATATTTAATCACAATCGCGATCAATATAAGATCCAGCTGAATAACGCGAACAGGCGACCATGAGATGATTTTCTATGGAAAGATAAAAAGAAAATATAGAATACAATTTTATCGTCCGCGACCTACTTTAGTTTCCGAGAAAGTCGACCTATATGCACGATTAGACGTATAAACTCATCGATTGGATAAAGTGTTAGCCGATTAAAGCGCAGTCGAATAATTCCTGATGAGAGATAGAGGTGCGGGCTATTTCGGTCGATCAACGCGTATATCCTTGATTTATGGTTCATCCCATAAACGGCGTCGAATCGGAAAGATAATTTTTCATGTTGGTTCCGAGAATTTATGGAGGAATTAGGATACCGGTCAGCGATCATTTGTAAGAGTTCTGATCAATTTATGGTGAATATTTGGCCTAATGCGAAAAACAGTTGATTAATTGTTATCGTTAATGGGTTTGGTCAATGGTACGTGAAAGATGATGATAAAGTCTTACACGTGTAAAAGTTTTTACAAAAAAGTTCATTTTTTCCGAGATATCATTACGAAGGAAGATTGATTAACGCCGCTTCTCCTAAATTTCGTAATTTTATCTACCTTTCCGATTCAATTTTATTTATTACGTGTCATAAATAACGATAACTAACAATAAATTCTAAGGTAAATTTTTTGTAACACGGTGTTGAGAGATATAACATCATTCTTCCCTATTTTCAATGTATGTAGTTGATCAATATGGCTTTTAACAGTTCAAATAATGCTTGCATTTCCACAAAAAGGGAAGCAAAATTGAAATTCCTCTATTACTCGAAAAAACCAAATGCCATCCATTTGTTGAAACAAAAATAAACGAAAATTCTCTGCAAGCCATTGGCGCGTCCCTCCTCCATATTTGCAACTTTCTGCCAGAGCGGTGCAAACATTTGCAAACAAATACTCTGAAAATTCGAAAATACTCCATCGTTTCTCTTATTCCCGGGTCTTCGAGTATCATATTCTATTGAAACCAAGGGGTGCAATGTGATGGATGGAAATCAATGAAAACAATAACACCGATTACGCTTTCCAAAAAAGTTTCACGCGCGCGATAAATGCCGGCCGGTAGAACAGGCGCTGTTCAAAACGACCTTGGAACTTCAGATTCACCATACAGAACGGCCATCAGCGGAGCCATCTTAAAGCTGCAAGAAGAGGGGAAACTGCACTTGCTGAAGACGCGCTGGTGGAAAGAGAAACGAGGCGGAGGATCTTGCAGGGTGAGCATTGAGCATGCAAACACGATTCGAGTTTCTCTTATTTTCCACAAGGACGAGAGTGCAGTCGATAACTGTACGCTCGAAAATTCTGATCTCCCACGAAAGTGTATTTCGTTCTGGTTCCCCTTCTACAATGTTTCCAGGAAGTATACGAGAGCTCTAGAAGGGATAGACAGACCGTACCGAGAGAAGACATTTTCATAAATCCGTGAAATCATTGCCAGAACTATTATACGGCTATTATCTGCCGGTATTATTCCGCTTGGATGAATTCCCGTGACTATTCGTCGCTGGAATTTGTTGGCTGAAACTAGCACGGCTTATGTGGTATTTGCTGTGTAAAGTTTATTCTTTTTTTTTTTTGAAAAAGGTGAAATTTCATTGATTTTAAAATTGAAATTATTTGATATGATAAAGACTATAGAAAGAGTAATGTATTGGTGTATTGAATAATTTCTTTGTGAGTGAAGAAATACTGAAGCGAAATTTAAAATTCTTCGTTCGTCTAATTACCTTTCATTTCATATTAAACTGTTTTATAATAAATATTATCGTTTCCGAGATAACGAGTGTAATTCGTTGCAAAATGATAATTTTTAGTCAAAATGAAAAACTGCAGACTCAATGAACTTTTATCAAAGTCATATAAATTGTATAATTGCACTTGTATGAAAATTTATATTCGCGAAACAGAATGGTTGGAAAAATTGACGTCGTGCGTGAATGTAATTTGACGAAACTAAAACGAAATCAATGGAAAATATATGTCGAACGTTTAACTATTCTCCTGCCTGAATTGTTCCCCTCAAACGAAACAAATATTTTCATATAGATACCCCTTGAATTTTCGAAAACGATAGAAGATTAAAATTGATGAAAAATATATCCGTAAATGAAAAATGTTACGCACTCATACATTATGAGTTGTTTACAAGCCAAAATAGTTAATTCCACTGTTTAAAAGTTTGTACACTTTTGTACCAAGACACTCGATTGATGTCTATCTTATATACATAAATTCATCAATTTTCTCTACTTTTTATTACGCGAAGTTAACCACTTCGGCAAATAGGCGATTCGTATTATTCTCTCATAAATGTTTCTCTTTTTGCAACAGGACGACATGTCGAAGAGCAGTTCAACAGCGAACGAACTAGGACTGGCAAACGTAGGCGGGGTGTTCGTAGTTCTGATGGGCGGTATGGGCATCGCTTGCGTGATCGCGGTATGCGAGTTCGTCTGGAAAAGCCGGAAGGTCGCCATTGAGGAACGGGTGAGTGAGGTCAGATAGCACGTCGAAGAGGGCGTGATCGCGCCTGAAGTAACGTCGTCCAACACGCACCTCGATCCCGATGCGATCTACCCCGATATACCGCGCGAATACATCAGTTGATGTTCGCGTGATGGTGGAGTTCCTCTTTAATGGTCACGGTGCACCCACAAAACCACTCGGGTCTGATCGGCTTCTCGCTGTGATCGATGGAATCACGACGTGTCAGAGGGAAAAACTAGTTACAGACTCGCGAAGCGTCTTTGTTCTTGAAACGATTCGCCATTATAATTGTTTGGGGTTCTAATTAGAGATACGGTTGATTGATATCATGGCGTTAATTCGCTCTTTCCGTCCTCGTCCGTCTTCCATTTCCTTAGTCGTCTTTTACTTTGAAGAAATATAGGACGCGAGATAAGTGAAAAGATATTGGGGCGTAAAGCGTCTTTGTTCTTGGGAGAGTAATTATTCACAGACTTTGGTAAACGGAAGTTACGACGCTAATTTGGTATTCCAAGTTTCCACTTGTTTTTACGATGCGTTGCTTGACTTCGTTTCTTTAGTCGATTTTAGCGGATTTTAGTTGTTGTTCGATTGACATGAATTTATTTCAAAGCGAGACTTCACTGTCCGTTTGGTACTAGCAATGTTTGAATTGTGATAGTTTCGATTCGGGGAAATGGGAATTCAGGAGTGGATGTAGAAATGAAATGGGAGAGAAGAGAGTGTATTGTTATGAAACACGAGAGTGTAGTTTATTTTTATGAAATAAAAATACAATTTCACGTGTTAAATAGGTTGCGAAGATTTCGACTAGAATGACCAGTCACCGTGATATTTTAATAGTCAATTCCCATGGTAATCCACTAAATGAATTTCATTGAATGCTGATTGCTGATTCACGAACGCGGATATATTCGGAAAAATGTTTGTTCCGCATAAAGCGAAGAAAATTGATATACAAAACAAATCGAATAAAAATAAAATAGATATTGGAAGAGAACTGCATTAAAAATTCCATTTACGAATGTCAGTTTTATTATTTTACACTATTATTTATATCATAGATTATTATAGACATTTTATTATTATAGATATTATTTTTATATTATTTGCAAAACAAAATTTCCAGTTAGAATATTATACTACTATACATTGTTGTAACGATCACGAAAAATAAAATCGTTCTCATCAATAATTTTGTAATCAAGTTACATTCTGTTAGAAGAAAGCGGCTGTTCACACACGTTTGACAAATCGTGTGTGTACAAATAGAATAACAACGATCAACACAGCATCCTTTATGTCTACCAATAGCTCATAAACAAAATTGAGAATGGAATTCATTGACGAGCGCGCGGTTTATGAGAAGCACGGGGCTACAATCGATGAATTTCGTTCACAAAAGAAAATTCCAGTGGGCTTAGCAATGAAATTAAAGCGCGGCTGGGAGAAACTCGAGCGGAAAGCTCGTACGAAGCTCGCGTGTCTACAATATGTATTTGAGCTGCCGTTTGCGTACGTTCAAGCGGTAAGCAAACAGGCAAGTATTTGAGAAGGGCTCGTCCACAAATACGGATATGCAGCTTTGCGCCAGTGACCTCGCGTACCCGAGAGCAAACAATTCCGTCAGCCAACAAACGTCTGGTATTGCTGTTCGCCTTCGGAGCCGCGCTACTTCAGACCGCAACAGAGTAGCCGCGATACTTGCTCGAGTTTGAAGATGCTAATCGTTTTACGTGGACGCGAATGCGGATCGAAGATTCCAATATCCCAAATTAACCATTTCCAAATCATATGTTCTTTTATGCTCATTTCAACTTAACAATTAGTATAAATTGCAAAACAACTACTTTACGACGATTCAACAAATATTTACAATGATGAACTGGTTTTCAAAAATTAACACTTAATGATATATTTAGTATGTCAAACATATTTAAAGATTTATCTTTAAATTATTTAGTTTTTAAGCTATTGGATAAAAAAGGTCCGTCTAGATTGATACAAAATTATTGTAATAAAAATTGGGTCAGTGGTGAACGAGCTACACGTTTTCTAAGCGTTTGAGTAGAGAAACGAATTTCTTTCTGCTATGAGAAGTTTTTGTATACTCTACACTGTATACAAACAGAATTTTGATACTTTTTTCAATTTACTTTAGAATTAGCATGACTTGCTGGAAGGGTCTGATTGCGAAGGGTGCTGAAAAATTGTAGGGGAACTTTGTGGTAGATATTGAGGAAAAATGGCCTGTAACATCTCAAGTATAGCTTAATTGAAGTGTGTCTCGAGGTCGTGTACTAGTACTTTATCAGAGTAATACTTGAGTAATACTTTATCTTTCAAATTATATCAACGAAATCCTCTTACAGTACCATTTAATTTTACCCAATAATGAAAGTTTCTGTATCTCCTATTTTTGTAATACTGCAGCCTACCCCAGTTATAAATAATGAAACCTATAAATTAATTGAATTTAAGGACTTTAAAAATTGTAGAATTAACGAAGAATTTAACATTTATTTCTTATGAGAATTGGGGATTTTAATACTCTTCACGCTGCATTTTCAATTCTTTTTTTTTTCTTTGTCTAAAATTATTCTTGTTTTATTTTATTTTGATAAATCGTTTGTAAATTTCGCAATTACACTCTCAATAATCTTATCTTCGATAGAGTTCAATCTTTCAGTTCGACGACTATCTTATCGCGTTTTCCATTTTTCACCTACGACATTCAGCGAACTTTAGTTTCTATCTATTTACGAGCAGTCCATTCGTTTCCAATCGTCCCCAATCGGGCAACTGTCGTTATTCCCGCTCGAGTTAATTTTTCTTATCAAAAACAAAAATGCTTCGCGTGCACCGTGTCGATCCGACTAATCGATCTGATGTGCCACCTAACGCAATCTTACCCGAGCATTTTCGTGTTCTGTTTTAGAAGCAGAAATCCTCGGGGAAACCGATCTGCGAAGCTTTTACCGATCTACACTAGCGGGCGATCCTGTAGGGATTCGTTCGCGAACCAGAAACTAAAGTAATATAAAAACGAACGAAACAAAGATAGAAAGACAAAAATGAACGGAACAATAGAGAACGAACAGAAATACGAAACAGATTCCTATGCCCGAGAAAAGCGTATCTGACCCGACGGACCTAAGGAGGAACTCCACCACATCAGTGATCGAGAACTGTGTGAAACACTGACAGACACAAACTGTAGAAAGTTCAAACGAACGTATAATCAAAACGAAGGAGCAACGATCCTCGACCTTTCCAGTTCTTTTTTTTTCTCTTATCCCTTCGAGAACCGTAATCTCGACCGACAATCTAGCCGGAACGTTATCGGCGGAACACTACCCAATCAATTATTATCGGGTAACGTACGGTGTCGTTGGAATTTCATTAAGTAGAGAGAAAGGGAGAAAGGATGAAAAGAAGGGAAGAAAAAGAGAAAAAAAATGAAAGAACGAAAACGAGAGAAAGAAAAAAAGAAGAAGGAACAATCCAAAGGGAACGTTTGATTTAAAACGATCGTTTTCTTTTCGTCCGCAACATCCCTTAATGACAGAACCGTGAAATGATGCAGATATTGAAATTGGAAAGGTTAACGCGTTTGCTATTTGCTCATATCAAAACCTTTTTAGATTAATTGACGACCGACTTGAAGCCTCGCAGCGAGAATGAACGATATCTCGCGCGATTGTTACATATAAAAGCTAGAACAAAAAGAGAATGGAATATATAAAAATACAAACGCGGTGTGATTTCTTTTTTTTCTGTTTCTAATGAATTCACTGCGATCGCGACTGAATCGTATGGTGAGGAGTAACGAACTGTTTACATGAACAATCACGATTTTATACCGACTAGATAATTAATGTATAGCGTCAAGTTACAAACGTTTTATTGTATGTACATATTGTGTAGCTCGAGGAGTGAATCGCTGTTCTATGTAGAGTCTGTAAGCTTCTTTTGTGAATTAAATAAAAAGAAAGATGAAAAATCCGTCTTCTGAATATAATCGAATATAATCGAATAATGATATGATAAAATTTTTATTCCACCGATAGAAGCTTGCAGATTCTACATATTTGAGAAGAAATTCAATTATGCGATAGAAGATTCTATATGTCTCGATTCGTATAAACTTGTATGATATGAAATGAGAAAAAAAAAAGAAAGAAGAAATAATGAGAACAGTGATCGCAATCGAAACGTAGGTGTTAAAGAATGAATCACATGTACGGTTCGAAAGGACACGCGCACGATGTGTGACAGTTTAGTATGACATTGTTAGTTGTGTCGCAATGTTTCTTGCCTCTCTTTCTCTCCCGCCATGGATACGCAGGAGGTGAGCAACTTTTCTTTTCTACTATGTATCTGCTACTCGTTGTGTCATAGCACTTGTCGATTGACAGACCGTAGAGCATGAGATATTTCTTTCCGAATAGCTGACTTTTTTTGTCGTTCGGTATACCGCAATGTTGGAAATGGAATTATTAAACGAACTTTTACGGAGGAAGGAAATATTTATAAGAATCCTTCGGTTTATTCATCTGTTGGGTTTTTCAAAGTTTAAACATTGTTTTATTTGTTGGATAAATATATATACATATATATATACAGAAAAGTTTACAAGAAACTAAAATAAATGTATTGAAAAATTGTTTCCATTTTCATCATTGTTATTTTCTTGTTATTAATTAAACAGGGTAAAACAAAAAAATAATTCTTGTAACGCAGTATGGTGTGAGTAATTTTCTTAGTTTTATGTTCGTCTCCTTTGCGAATTGAATTTTTTAATACTTTATTTTCCTTATTTACAGCTTGTGGATACCGTTTTATATGAAAATTTATTAAAAACAAAGCAGATTGTTATAAATTATTTGTTGAACATCGCACGAATAATTATAAGACACAAACTGGTTTACTATGTGTGCTTGATTCCTTGTATTTTTTCCTTCACGTACTCACAGCTTCTATGAAATAATTGATTATTAATTAAGGTTGCATGCATATATCCAACAGAATTGTTTATCTCGAGAAAGTCAGCTTCGTGCCATGACGCGTCGCATAAACCCAACAATTTTAAAAGAGCAATATGCTTGATGTCCTCATCAAGGTGTCTAACTCGAAGTTTCTATTCTACTGCAGAGTCTTTAAACTTGTTTTCTCATTCTTGTAACTACTTCAGCTAATATCATTGGATCGTAGAGTGTCCCATGAACCCAAAAATTTTAAGGAAGCGATATGCTTTATAGTCCTTTGTAAAATGTCTGGGTTAGAATTCCTATCTTATCGTAGAGTCTATAAACTTGTTTACTTACAGGTATTCCTCATAAGATACTGAACTTCGAATCTTCAATTGGTATTATTGAAATACAAACAGTCTATAGGAGTTTTGATTAAGTTAATTTGTTTTTTGAGAATGTACTTTATTTTTAATTTGTTTCGTGTTTATCCTGTTTTACATAACAAATACAGTGGTAATCCTCTTACAACCCTCGCATAAACTTCAAAAACACAATTCTCGACAATTCTGGTTAATCATATTCTTCCTACGTATACATTTTCTAACCGAATTTGTATTATCTTAATATTAAAGCAGTACATGATCGTAAATGTATTTATCGTGTGAGATATAGAATCTAAATTAAAATTAAATTTATCGCAAACTATTACGATTACCTGTGACATAACGATACCAATCGAAATTGGTAACTATTATAATTAGGAAGAAGCTAGTTTTGTCCAAAGTTCGTAGTCATTTATTTCAATAAAATATGTTATCTCTAAAAAAAGAACCTACTATAAACAAAATTATGTACATTTAAAAACATTCCCTTGAACGTATTCTTTGCCAACATCTCTCACTCTGCTTCAAACAAACCCCATCACGAAGGCACCTACATACTAGCAGCCCGCAATCACTCCAGAACAGCATACCGATAAAAAGTTATTGCGCCAATAAAACTTCGTATCTCGAATATATCAAAACCAGGTTAAAATGTTTATGTGCATATTATACTATACGTACACGCGTCATCGCACTTGGCTGACGAAGCTTCGCATATCGCGAAGAGAGCACGATTAAAGGGATGCAGCGGATGTTTACTGGAACTTTCCAGAAGTCCATGTGCTCGGAGATGGCGAGCGAGTTGCGTTACGCGCTGGATTGCGGGAACGGGACAAAAAAGTCCGCGAAGAAGACACTGTGTAGTCGCGAGAGGCAGGAATCGAACCTATCGATTGTGTCCGAGGAGGGCAGGTATCCGGTATGCAACAAGTACAGACACTTCGTAGGGAAAGCGCCTTTGACCTGAAGCTACGAAGCTGAATCATCGTCGAAGGGAGAAGAGCAAGGTGCACGGGACTAATCGAACTCGCGACTCGATGAACTATAAAGGCAATCGACGAACGAGAGATACGACGAGAGAAGCAACGAGGCGCGAACTAAAAGTTTAGCGCGAGATGAAAACCATCCACATTCTCCAGTTGCTTTATCCCTCTTCTCTCTCTCTCTCTCCCTCTCTCTCTCTCTCTTTCTCTCTTTCTATGTGTGTATGTGTATAAGTCTGGTTCTTTCTTTCTTTTTTTTTCTTCCATTTTTTCGTTCTTTGTCTTTACAAGTGACGCGAACGAACGAACATGGCAGTACTTCGACTAGCACTTTATACAGTGTACAGTGTACAGTCATTCAGTCGTTAATTGGAGCTCACTGGAATTTATCGTGCCGTGCGGAAGACAACGATGCACGCTGTTTGAGCGGAAAGATTAACGAGCAGTCTCGAGATCCTTTGTCTTTCGTTGTGCCACTAGTGGCAAAAGAGGGTGGCCTTCGTGAAACGAAACCCAGCCTAAGCGGTCGCGGCGTGAGCTGTCGCCGCGAAAATCTAATCCTTAATTGTCGCTGTCTCTGCGATTTTATATGTGTATGAAGACCACATGAAAAATATATGATAAGTCCATTTTCGTTGACTTTCCGACTTTTATGAAACTTGGTAGCTAAAAAGATGTATTTTAATATGAAATATTAGTTGCAGAACCCCCGTTACTTATTACGTGACGAAAAATATTAGCTTTGTTGTTATGTAACTTTAGCTTAATTGATACTATTCTACACAAGTAATATTTTTAAATTTTTGTTAACGTCGTAGAGCGCGATGGAAACACATATGTAATCCTAAAATCAAATACAAACACAGCTTTAATCCGGGATTACTTGACAATTGACTGATTTTTAAAATTGTTCTTTTCTGCACAACGGAAAAAGTATCACATCATATTTTTCATATCTGTAAGCTTCATATACACATGGCGCAGTAAGGAATAGGGATGATTGTGGATACGATTAATTTTATTAAAATTATAATTGAATATATGTTCATGAATAGTTGCCAACGATATATTAATTTTTAAACAAAATTGGTCGTTTAAAATTGGTTATTTATAACTTTTTATTCGAATCCGAATTTATAGTAGAGTGAAATAATTTAATCCTGTAATGGTATTTCCATATTTTATCAATTTTGTTAAAATGCTTCGAAACCTCGAATGTATTTAATATCAATAGACTAATATCAGAAACGAGTAGCGGATACAGGAAACGGCAATAATTATTGCCCATGCCCGTATATTTCTCGAATATATTAGAAAGCAATTTATGAATTCGCTCCCACATAACTTAATTAAATATTGAAATTAAATGATCAAATATGCGATGTCTTCCGCACGATATGTTACAATACAAATGACAAACTTTTTGAAGAACGTATGCATGTCAAGAACGATCGAAAAAAGAGAGAAAGAACAAAAACTGTGGATTTTGTAATTGATGCATATAAAACGTTACTTGAACAGCGAAGGAAAACGTCATGGAATCCAATTCACTCCATTATTATGGACTATGTCGTTCATTTTTAAAGAAAGTATCTACATTCGTGATCACTTGAGAAAAATATCACAAGATAATTAACACTGTACAAATTCTGTCTCTGTCTGTTCGGTGACGTTTGGATACATTCGTTTAGTGTACATAATCATAATCATCGTTAAGATTACGAACTAAACTAAACGTATCTATTCTATGGTATTGTATCATAGAACTTTCATGGGGAAAAATCTGTTCATACGACTTCTAAAAGTATGTCTTCGTTTAAGTATCATTTCGATGCTGTAAGATAACGTGTCCATTGGTGCAAACGTTGTATGTAGATGTTTTATCGAGTGTAGACAGAATAAGCGATTTTACATTTTTATGTTATATTCTAGATATGCTAGGAAAGTGACACGATTAAGGAATGCAAATTTTTAGCAAATTTTATTTGAAATAGAAAATTATTAATTATTTAACAACGAAAAAGCTTTTTTCTTATGCAACTTATACCTTGGATTTTGAAAAAGCGTAAATTTTTCAGATGCGTCACTCCTCTAGCAAATCGACGATATATTCCGGCTCGTTGTTTCGCTAACGAATTTCTCGACCTCGTTATCATGTATCGCAGGATTTCATTGATCTATCTGTATCTGACTTCGGATATTCATTGATTCAATCGTATACGGCATTAATCCTTTGAAATCTAGGGCAGATTCATGTGTATTAATTGAAAGTTATTACACATATTGCGAACAGTATAGGTCAGAGCTGCTGATAAAATAATAAAATCAGAATACAATACTTACTGTTTAAATATTCTCAACATACTTTGTACATTTTATAGCAATCTGAATTTAGATTTCTAATTATTCTTCAAAAAATTATCTCAACTAAGTATTCAATTATTAATTGAATTATTAAACGCAGTACGAAGTATTACATGTATCTAAATAATTCTTAAATCCTCTTTAAATCTTACAATACTTTCTAAACGTTTCACACCTCGTGAATTCGTTATAATATTAAATATTAAATTTCCTTTAGAACGTGTCGCATTTATTTGATTTTAGACCTAGCGAATTCGAATAATCTTTCAAAAAACTAACTCGACTGAAAATTCAATTAAATCTCCTTCAGACCGAGACAGATTTCAGTAGCCAGTCGCGGCATTGCAATGTTCCTTTCTTAAGCGTCCAACGATTCCACGGATTAAACTGGTTAACAGAGTTAATGGAAAGCCTGTTTGCAGCTGGTACATCGCCGTTCATGAACGCCCTGGACTGAGCAGTATTAATTTCCGTCTTCCGTCTCTCCTAAGGCGTAAACACGCACGAATATCGTACATGCACGGATGCTGGCTTAGCCTCTCTGGAATGATCAATTTCCGGATGCAGATAGATCAGTGGAATGAGATTAGCGGCGAAATTTGGGCGTTGATAATATTTCTGCCTCACCGCCATGCACCATTTTTTTAGAACGACGTATATATGCGACAATCGCGACTTTTTATTTTTATTTTTCTTTCTTGTTCTTTGTATATTTTTTGTTCTTTTTTTATCGTCGACTCGTTCATCCATCGATGTGTGTACACCAAATCGAATCGTTTTTAAAATTCGTACAAAAGATGCGATACAAATCCGCATGGACGACATATTCTCACACGAGTACATACATGCGAATAAATCGTGAATTATACACGTACTTGTAAATATTATCTGTATCGCGTACATTGCGTTTGCATCGTACCGAATTTAAGAGCCAATTGATTATACTTCTTACATAAAGTGTACTACGAGCATCATATTAAACGTGAATAAAACTCATCGTCTGTAAATTCTCAGTGGGTGTGTTTTGTTTATTACTTTGTCTACCAGGTTTGATTTATTTATCATTTAGAGAACCTAGAAGAATGAACTTCGTATGCACGACCTTTTGCAACTTTTCAGAAGAATTTTTGTATTAAGATCTTAATTCATATAGACAATAAACAAGTCAAACACTGATTGATTCTACCAACATTAATTGTTTAGCTTCTGCAACATTAAAACTAATTAATAATTTATAATATAAGATATATTATATGTACAAAAGGAAAAATTCGTCTGCATTAAAAACTACTGACATTTGTGCTATATGATTAATTAAAACACATTCTTCTTCAAATTTAAAAAATTCACAACATTACCAGCGATTTAGTTCCACGTTATCTCCATTTACCTTTAAAATTTCACTGATGGTATAGTCGAAAGATTCTCCTTCGTAAGGTTATTCAAACATTCGTTTAGTGCGTCCTGTGATCGATCGTCAGGTGTCAGGTTCTTCCGGTTTCAATTGAGAAAATTATTCCACGCATAATGTACTTAACCCACGCCATAATCTCCTCGTTGATTACGTCGGAGAAGTTCTACCTTACCACGTAATTGGTCCTCGAGAAGTTGTACTTTTACATCAATTGCCACAGCCTTCACTCTTCGTTCTTTTGATTAGAGAACTAAATCCCAAACCGCTAACGTAACTAATTCACTAATGTATCCAAGTTCCATGGCTTTTACCTTCTCTTTGCTCCCTAGGACGCTAACGGAGCTATTTAATTTACTTTGCTATCTCTTTGCCGGTTGTACCTTCTTTCTCTCTTTTCTTCGGTTTATGTCTTCTTTTCCTGGCTCGCTCGCTGCGTATCTCTGCCTTTTGTACAATTAATCAGTCATCTTTTTCTTGATGTTCTTCGTTCGAAAGTTCGTTTTTAAACGTTTTGCTGCGTACGTTCAGGGGTTGATTAATTGTCTTGAAAATTAGGGCGAGAGAAGAATGAGAGAAATAGATTAAGGAAGTAAATGAGGTTGTGAATCTCTTTAGATAAGATAATAAACTCCATAGAGTAACTTTTTCTAGTTCTATTGTTCCAGATAGAAAGAAA